CGGCGGAGCTGGCGTCCTCTTCTCCACCTGTCCATCGAGACACGTCGAGTCACTTCCTTCCCACTTGTCATTCGAGTGTCGCCAAATGCGGCAACAACGGCGGCGGCGTCGCCTCTGGTGATGCAGCCGCCGGCGGAGCTGGCGTCCTCTTCTCCACCTGTCCATCGAGACACGTCGAGTCACTTCCTTCCCACTTGTCATTCGAGTGCCGCAAAATGAGGCAACAACGGCGGCGGCGTCGCCTCTGGTGATGCAGCCGCCGGCGGAGCTGTCGTCCTCCTGTTCACCTGTCCATCGAGTCACTTCGAGTCACTTCCTTCCCACTTGTCATTCGAGTGCCGCCAAATGCGGCAACAACGGCGGCGGTGTCGCCTCTGGTGATGCAGCCGCCGGCGGAGCTGGCGTCCTCTTCTCCACCTGTCCATCGAGACACGTCGAGTCACTTCCTTCCCACTTGTCATTCGAGTGCCGCCAAATGCGGCAACAGCGGCGGCGGCGTCGCCTCTGGTGATGCAGCCGCCGGCGGAGCTGGCGTCCTCTTCTCCACCTGTCCATCGAGACACGTCGAGTCACTTCCTTCCCACTTGTCATTCGAGTGCCGCCAAATGCGGCAACAGCGGCGGCGGCGTCGCCTCTGGTGATGCAGCTGCCGGCGGAGCTGGCGTCCTCTTCTCCACCTGTCCATCGAGACACGTCGAGTCACTCCCTTCCCACTTGTCATTCGAGTGCCGCCAAATGCGGCAACAGCGGCGGCGGCGTCGCCTCTGGTGATGCAGCCGCCGGTGAAGCTGGCGTCCTCTTCTCCACCTGTCCATCGAGACACGTCGAGTCACTTCCTTCCCACTTGTCATTCGAGTGCCGCCAAATGCGGCAACAGCGGCGGCGGCGTCGCCTCTGGTGATGCAGCCGCCGGCGGAGCTGTCGTCCTCTTCTCCACCTGTCAATCCATCGTCATCCCCCACATGTCGCTTCGAGTGGCGACGGTGCGGGGGTGACGGTTGTGGCGGCGCCGGTGATGGATGCGTTGGCTTACGATTTGGCATTGGCGTTGGCGGGTGTTGCGGTTGCGTAGGTTGTGGCAGTTGTGTCGGATGTAGCGGCGGTGGCGGCTGCGGCAGGTGTCGCTGCGGTGTCGGTAGGTGTGGCGTTGGCGGCGGGTGTGTCTGCGATGGCGGTGGTAGCGGTTGAGGAGGCAGCGGTGCCGGTGCCGGTGGCGGGTGTGGCGTTGGTGGTGGGTGTGGCGGCTGCGGGAGGTGCGGTGGCATTTGTGACGGGTGTGGTGGCATTTGACTGCGGCGGCGGCGTCGCCTCTGGTGATGCAGCCGCCGGCGGAGCTGGCGTCCTCTTCTCCACCTGTCCATCGAGACACGTCGAGTCACTTTCTTCCCACTTGTCATTCGAGTGCCGCCAAATGCGGCAACAACGGCGGCGGCGTCGCCTCTGGTGATGCAGCCGCCGGCGGAGCTGTCGTCCTCTTCTTCACCTGTCCATCGAGACACGTCGAGTCACTTCCTTCCCACTTGTCATTCGAGTGCCGCCAAATGCGGCAACAACGGCGGCGGCGTCGCCTCTGGTGATGCAGCCGCCGGCGGAGCTGTCGTCCTCTTCTTCACCTGTCCATCGAGACACGTCGAGTCACTTCCTTCCCACTTGTCATTCGAGTGCCGCCAAATGCGGCAACAACGGCGGCGGCGTCGCCTCTGGTGATGCAGCCGCCGGCGGAGCTGTAGTCCTCTTTTTCACCTGTCCATCGAGACACGTCGAGTCACTTCCTTCCCACTTGTCATTCGAGTGCCGCCAAATGCGGCAACAGCGGCGGCGGCGTCGCCTCTGGTGATGCAGCCGCCGGCGGAGCTGTCGTCCTCTTCTCCACCTGTCAATCCATCGTCATTCCTCCCACATGTCGCTTCGAGTGGCGACGGTGCGGGGGTGACGGTTGTGGCGGCGCCGGTGATGGATGCGTTGGCTTACGATTTGGCATTGGCGTTGGCGGGTGTTGCGGTTGCGTAGGTTGTGGCAGTTGTGTCGGATGTAGCGGCGGTGGCGGCTGCGGCAGGTGTCGCTGCGGTGTCGGTAGGTGTGGCGTTGGCGGCGGGTGTGTCTGCGATGGCGGTGGTAGCGGTTGAGGAGGCAGCGGTGCCGGTGCCGGTGGCGGGTGTGGCGTTGGTGGTGGGTGTGGCGGCTGCGGGAGGTGCGGTGGCATTTGTGACGGGTGTGGTGGCATTTGACTGCGGCGGCGGCGTCGCCTCTGGTGATGCAGCCGCCGGCGGAGCTGGCGTCCTCTTCTCCACCTGTCCATCGAGACACGTCGAGTCACTTTCTTCCCACTTGTCATTCGAGTGCCGCCAAATGCGGCAACAACGGCGGCGGCGTCGCCTCTGGTGATGCAGCCGCCGGCGGAGCTGTCGTCCTCTTCTTCACCTGTCCATCGAGACACGTCGAGTCACTTCCTTCCCACTTGTCATTCGAGTGCCGCCAAATGCGGCAACAACGGCGGCGGCGTCGCCTCTGGTGATGCAGCCGCCGGCGGAGCTGGCGTCCTCTTCTCCACCTGTCCATCGAGACACGTCGAGTCACTTCCTTCCCACTTGTCATTCGAGTGCCGCCAAATGCGGCAACAGCGGCGGCGGCGTCGCCTCTGGTGATGCAGCCGCCGGCGGAGCTGGCGTCCTCTTCTCCACCTGTCAATCGGCACGTCATCCCCCACATGTCGCTTCGAGTGGCGACGGTGCGGGGGTGACGGTTGTGGCGGCGCCGGTGATGGATGCGTTGGCTTACGATTTGGCATTGGCGTTGGCGGGTGTTGCGGTTGCGTAGGTTGTGGCAGTTGTGTCGGATGTAGCGGCGGTGGCGGCTGCGGCAGGTGTCGCTGCGGTGTCGGTAGGTGTGGCGTTGGCGGCGGGTGTGTCTGCGATGGCGGTGGTAGCGGTTGAGGAGGCAGCGGTGCCGGTGCGCGGTGGCGGGTGTGGCGTTGGTGGTGGGTGTGGCGGCTGCGGGAGGTGCGGTGGCATTGGTGACGGGTGTGGTGGCATTTGCCTGGCGGCGTTGGAGTTGGCGTAAGCGGGTGTGGCGTTGGCGGCGGGTGTGGCTGCGGTGGAGGTGGTGGCTATGGATGTGACGGTGGCGGTGACGGTGGCGGCGACGATGGCGGGTGTGGCGGTGGCGGTGGGTGTGGCGGCTGCAGGAGGTGCGGTGGCATTGGTGACGTGTGTTGTGGCATTTGCCTTGGCGGCGTTGGAGTTGGCGTTGGCGGGTGTGGCGTTGGCGGCGGGTGTGGCTGCGGTGGAGGTGGTGGCTATGGATGTGACGGTGGCGGTGACGGTGGCGGCGACGATGGCGGGTGTGGCGGTGGCGGTGGGTGTGGCGGCTGCGGGAGGTGCGGTCGCATTGGTGACGGGTGTGGTGGCATTTGCCTTGGCGGCGTTGGAGTTGGCGTAAGCGGGTGTGGCGTTGGCGATCCCCCACATGTCGCTTCGAGTGGCGACGGTGCGGGGGTGACGGTTGTGGCGGCGCCGGTGATGGATGCGTTGGCTTACGATTTGGCATTGGCGTTGGCGGGTGTTGCGGTTGCGTAGGTTGTGGCAGTTGTGTCGGATGTGGCGGCGGTGGCGGCTGCGGCAGGTGTCGCTGCGGAGTCGGTAGGTGTGGCGTTGGCGGCGGGTGTGTCTGCGATGGCGGTGGTAGCGGTTGAGGAGGCAGCGGTGCCGGTGCCGGTGGCGGGTGTGGCGTTGGTGGTGGGTGTGGCGGCTGCGGGAGGTGCGGTGGCATTGGTGACGGGTGTGGTGGCATTTGACTAGCGGCGTTGGAGTTGGCGTAAGCGGATGTGGCGTTGGCGGCGGGTGTGGCTGCGGTGGAGGTGGTGGCTATGGATGTGACGGTGGCGGTGGTAGCGGTTGAGGAGGCAGCGGTGCCGGTGCCGGTGGCGGGTGTGGCGTTGGTGGTGGGTGTGGCGGCTGCGGGAGGTGCGGTGGCATTGGTGACGGGTGTGGTGGCATTTGACTAGCGGCGTTGGAGTTGGCGTAAGCGGATGTGGCGTTGGCGGCGGGTGTGGCTGCGGTGGAGGTGGTGGCTATGGATGTGACGGTGGCGGTGACGGTGGCGGCGACGATGGCGGGTGTGGCGGTGGCGGTGGGTTTGGCGGCTGCGGGAGGTGCGGTGGCATTGGTGACGTGTGTGGTGGCATTTGCCTTGGCGGCGTTGGAGTTGGCGTTGGCGGGTGTGGCGTTGGCGGCGGGTGTGGCTGCGGTGGCGGTAAATGTGGTGGCGGCGACGGTGGTGGGTATGGCGTTGGCGGCGGGTGTGGCGGCTGCGGGAGGCGCCGTGGCATTGATGACGGGTGTGGTGGCAGCTGTCTTGGAAGCGTTGGAGTTGGCGTTGGCGGGTGTGGCGTTGGCGGCGGGTGTGGCTGCGGTGACGGTAGTGGCGGTGGCGGTGACGCTGGCGAGTGTGGCGGTGGCGGCCGGTGTGGCGGCTGCGGCAGGTGCAGCGGCATCAATGACAGGTGTTGTGACATTTGTGTGGGCGGAGGTGGAGTTGGCGTTGGCGACGGCTTCGCCACTGGTGATGCAGCCGCCGGCGGAGCTGTCGTCCGCTTCTCCACCTGTCCATCGAGACACGTCGAGTCACTTCTTTCCCACTTGTCATTCGAGTGCCGCCAAATGCGGCAACAGCGGCGGCGGCGTCGCCTCTGGTGATGCAGCCGCCGGCGGAGCTGGCGTCCGCTTCTCCACCTGTCCATCGAGACACGTCGAGTCACTTCTTTCCCACTTGTCATTCGAGTGCCGCCAAATGCGGAACAGCGGCGGCGGCGTCGCCTCTGGTGATGCAGCCGCCGGCGGAGCTGGCGTCCTCTTCTCCACCTGTCCATCGAGACACGTCGAGTCACTTCTTTCCCACTTGTCATTCGAGTGCCGCCAAATGCGGCAACAGCGGCGGCGGCGTCGCCTCTGGTGATGCAGCCGCCGGCGGAGCTGGCGTCCTCTTCTCCACCTGTCCATCGAGACACGTCGAGTCACTTCCTTCCCACTTGTCATTCGAGTGCCGCCAAATGCGGCAACAACGGCGGCGGTGTCGCCTCTGGTGATGCAGCCGCCGGCGGAGCTGTAGTCCTCTTCTTCACCTGTCCATCGAGACACTTCGAGTCACTTCCTTCCCACTTGTCATTCGAGTGTCGCCAAATGCGGCAACAGCGGCGGCGGCGTCGCCTCTGGTGATGCAGCCGCCGGCGGAGCTGTCGTACTCTTCTCCACCTGTCCATCGAGACACGTCGAGTCACTTCCTTCCCACTTGTCATTCGAGTGCCGCCAAA